ACAGGTCATCAGACGATGGGTATAATTGGCGAAAATATGGACAGAAACTTGTAAAAGGAAGTGAATTTCCTCGAAGCTATTACAAATGTACGTATCCTAACTGTGAAGTGAAAAAGATATTCGAACGTTCTCCTGAGGGGCAAATAACAGAAATTGTGTATAAGGGTTCACATGATCATCCTAAGCCTCAGCCAAGCCGTCGATTTACTCCTGGTGCTCTTTTGTCTATTCAAGAAGAGAAATTTGATAAAGATTCAACTTTTACTGGTCAAGAAGGTAAAGAAGTTAACAAATTAATGCAGTTTTATGGAACTTTTTGATCCTTATTTTGCTGTATGCATCTAAGAATGGTAAATTAATATCTTCTCTCTTGTTTGCTTCTCTTGCCAAAGATAAACTAAACGTTAACAGCCAGAATACCAGTGTCGAGCCAAATAGCACTCCTGTGCCATCTCCGCAACAAGAAAATGATGATGGATTGGATGGTACCCTGTCAAAATTGCAGTGTGTTAATGATGAGATTGATGAAGATGACCCATTTTCAAAGAGGAGGTATTTTTGTTTCACAAAAGATCCATGTATTATTCTTACTCCTATGGTTGTCCTATCAATTCTGTAAAAATTTTTGAGCAGGAAATTAGATGGTTCACTTGATGTTACACCAGTGGTGAAGCCTATCCGTGAGCCACGTGTTGTTGTTCAAACTGTAAGCGAGGTTGATATACTGGATGATGGGTATCGGTGGCGTAAATATGGGCAGAAAGTGGTCCGTGGAAACCCAAATCCTAGGTACATAATAAGTTTATTGTTGTGCATAGAGATTAATAGTAAATTGTTGCTGTTTATGCTCTTGTCCCAGAAGTTGCGTTGTTTTAGAACATCACAAGGTACTATGTTGGTGGTGGTATATGATTCCTTTATCCAAATCCAGAAAATTATCTGGAAGCATCATTATATCCAAATACATCAATACCTTCTTGTGTCACATCTGTGTTGACCATCTGATATGGCTCAACTTGTATAAGTTGCTCTATTTTTGTGCTTGAAAGGATGGGTTGCATTTGATTGGGTGTTGAATTATACAATGTGCATGCTCCCATTTCAACTGATATCCAAAAACTCAACTTTATGTTTATTTGTGTCATGGAGTAACTGTACCTTCTCTTTGAAGCTGGCTTTTCTGGGATATCCTGTTCTACTTGGAGAAGTATGAACTTGATCATGCGTTGTTTTGCTTCTTTCATCAATAGAATTTAGCAACCAATTTTCTCTGCATATTAGCAAGGCGTTGAGGACAAATTGAGATATAAGTGGTTTAAAAAATTTCTTAGAATCGATTTTGTTCTGCATTTTGAACTACCTACTCCCAATATGAGATGAAGCTATGTTGCAATCTCTGCACATAGTGCTTGTCCACATTTTTCTGACACTACATGGTCTGTGATCACTAAGACGGCACATTGTATAAAGGAAAATTATTTTGCTTGTAGAACTAACCTCCATTTATTAGGCCTAGCGTTCTTTATGTATTTTAATGGAGTATTAAGCAAGATTTCTGTCTTACATTTATTTATTTATATTTTTAAATGTATGAGCTGTTGGTTGTTTGTAATCATTGATCTTCCATGAATTCTGCGAAGTCAAGTCTTGAGCAATCGGATTTTGGTTTTATGGATTATAAGCAAGTTGGTATTGCTCCTTTTATCTTCTTTGGTGGTTATAGTTGTATGATTCCCTCATTTAGGCGTTTCTTATTTTTGACAGAAAATACCCAGGCCCTTGCTATCCAGTTGCCATGCACACCCTATTTTCTTAAATGAGATGGGTGTAGTTTTACCATTTAGCTAGGAATTATCTTCCAAGCATTTTGTGACTCACCACTTGGGTGTGATGCAGGAGTTATTACAAGTGCACTCATGCAGGATGTCCAGTAAGGAAACATGTTGAAAGAGCATCGCATGATCCCAAAGCAGTTATTACGACATATGAAGGAAAACACAATCATGATGTACCAACTGCCAGAACAAGTAGCCATGAAATGGCAGGACCAGCAACGATGGGTGCAATGTCAAGAATTAGGTCAGAAGAGGATGATCCACTAAGCCTTGATCTTGGAGTTGGTATTAGCTATGGTGCTGAGCATAGACCTGATGCTCAGCTACAAATGCTGAACTCTGAGCCTCTTCAAAGCCAAGTTCGTGCAGCTGCTTCTACTCGAATGGTAGTTCAAGCATCTACATTGCCAGCATGTTATGGTGTTGTAAATGGTGGAATAACTTTATATGGATCCAAAGAAAATTTGGACGAAGGCGGTGGTTTTGGGACAGCACCTTTGCGGTCTTCAAACCAATGTCCACAAAATCTTGGAAGAATAATTTTGGGCCCGTAAAGTGTTACTGAGTACGAGGAGGAAAAGTGAAAAAATAATGCCACCATTTATTTTTTTCGGGATTCTTGGTGGGTGAATGGTCGAAGGATTCAACCGATGTTCACTTGTGAATGCCTGCCTCTCCAGTTTTATGTTTGAGAGCTGCCCATGCTGTAAGATAGTATTGGTTACCATGTAAATTAGAATACAGTAAAGGTTGACATTGCACCCTCAAAAGTGCTCGAATTCTTTTGGTTTTTGTAGCAAATCCATCTCATCTCCCTTCCTCATTTTCAAGTAAAAGCTAGCGTCAATTTTAACAGGATTCTTGTCGTCTGCCCAACATCATGATTGGCGACAACTAATGAAAGAATTTTCCCCGGGTATGAACGTTCCTCCATCTGCTTACTCATTCACTTTCCTCGGGCAATCTTGAAATCATTAATTTGTTGTTTATACGTCTGATCGAAGATAAAAAGGGACCACTACTTGGAAATGGCAGAACCTCGTCATGGGAGCCACCCACCACGATGAATTTTTCCGCCCCGCCATCAGTGTGAGAATAGTTCCATCTGTGCTACATCTACAGTCTTTCTTTTGTTTACATTGATACAGGAGTTTATGTACCGAAATTCATGATTGATCGAAGGAAAGATTACCATCCATCATGTACAAACTGACTGACGATTAAACAGGTTGAGGAAGGTGTATTTGTCTGTCACCTCTTCTGATACTTTCTGGGGAAAAGACTAACATCCTCAAATGTGGTTATTTTGTTGCATGACTGCAAATTCCTTGAGTTACACAAAACAGGAGTCACAATCCGTATGTGGTGTACTACTATGAAGTACGAACCAAACCCAGAATTACATGAATAAAATCTCCTTGAAACACAGCCCACAGACTCCATAAACTCGTACCCGCATCCATATCTATCAACATTTCAACAATGTACCCCACAAGTATCCTCAAGGCAAGAAAAGTATAGTATTTTAACCCGTGAAGAATCTTCTCCAAGACTGCCATGGTAGCCATCCACCTGCCAAGAAAGGAAAGGAATGCAGTCAAAGAGAATAAGAATGCACAGCGATGAAGGTTCTTCTGGTTGTGTCTCCCAGTTTGAAGAAAACAGAGAGTTGGTTAGAGAAGATACCACAGGCAGGACAACGGATGTGTTGTTGGTCAGTCCGGAGAACTAGACCTGACCCTTTACATTCTCCACATTGCCTCTGTTTCACCTGCACGTTGCAATTTTTCATTTCTTCTTTTTTTTTTCTGTAATACTACCTCGTGGACTATTACTAGGCATTTCAGTAATCTTTTCTATTTTGCCTACACATAGTATCAGAGATATTTGCTTTAGTATTTGCACGAATAATACTAATTTACCGCACCAAGCTCCTTTTTTAAAAAAAAAAAAAAAAATTTCCTTCCTTTTTCCTTTCAATCATATATAACAATCGACAATAATAAAATCTGGATGGTAAATACTACGTACTAATCAAATTTACTCCATTCTCTACATCAAAATTCAAAGTAGTACGATAAACAGAAGGATCCTGGAAATGCTTACAATTCTTTTGCCGAACTCAATTCCAGCAACCATAAAAGGTGTAATTCCAGCTGCCAAAAATTACAACGCAAGACTTCTTGAATAGTTTGTATTCATATATTGTGAGAGTAACACTAATAATAATAATAATTTAAAAAAAAAAAAAAAAATCTTTTCCCCAGACATCACTCATCAGACAGACAGAGAGTGAACACCCGAACAAGCCAAGATAATTAAACATGGTCAAGGTCGAGTACCTAAAGCACCAACAACAATTTGCCATGTGACCACAGCCCGGGCAGGGTCAGAAGTGAAACTGGAAACCTCGGCCAGGGCGGATATTCTTGGCTTTGATTTCTTGATTTTGAGAGATTCATAACTTGTAGTAATACTACTACTAGTAGTGTTCCCACTGGGAGCCAGAGATATTGGATGGGAAAGTGTTGTGGTGGGGAATCTGGTTCTGGTGGTGGGTTGATTTGAGCTTCGTATAAAGCCGCCGCTAACGACTGCATACCCCATCTTCGCTTTTGATTAAGAGCAGGGCCAGGGCCAGGAAGTCGGCCGGGAAACTAGAAAGCTTTTAACTTGTTCCGTTCGTTGATGAGTCGCAACATTTTTGGCCATGGCATTTTCGGTTTAGTATTTATTAGAGCCACAGAGTAGGAGCCGCTGATACTTCTCCACGTCCACTTGGACCTCCACTTCGCGCCAAACCCAGATATAAGTAGGTCATATCATACTTCTCCACGTCCCCCTTTTTTCTTTTTTCTTTTCCTTTTCTTGCCCTAGGCCCCTAGCCATGAATTTCTTCCGCTCATCAAATTTTCATTAGGCTCCAGATGTTTTGGTTTGCCGGAGAGCAAGACGGATCATGGAGTCAGCTTGGTTGATGACAGAATGCTGGACGGCAGTTGTCTTCTTGTTCTACTATAGTTGAATTAGCCGTCTATTCAATCATGGAAGCGCATTTTAGCGTCATGAATCCAATGATTGTTTTAGCACAGAGTATTGCTTTTGCCAAAAGACGTGAAAAAGGCCAATGCAGCAGCGGAGCAATATGGTTGCCGCGGTCAACAATGGAGGGGCAAAAAGCATCCAACATCCATCAAGTATATTAAGCTAGGACAAACAAGTAAATAAAGCTGATTAAAGTAGCTGTACAAAACTTAAAAGAACCTCTGAAACCAAGCGGTTTAAATCAAGAACTGTCCAGATAAACTGCAGCAGAGCACAAACAATCTATGGCAGCTTGCTTCTACTTCCGGACCAACCGCGGTATATCTAGGTTAACTCAGTCTGGGCTTCAGAATTCCCCAGGGGATACTTCAGAATTTGCACACATAAAAGTTTTAACTACAAAGATTTCTTAAAACAAACCAAAAGCAAAATTAAGAGGAAGTTGCACATAGAATTCTAGCAGCGTCCTTAAGAAGAGTACCATTTTCAGCTTCAACTACCCGCGAGTAGCATTCTAACCCATCCTCGTAACTGTAATTTTGCTCAGTACTTGCACCACCAGAAAGGACTTCATGATCCTTGACAGACATCCACCCACTCGACTTCTGGCTGTTTTGCAAAGTGCTTTTAGCACCCCCCACAGTCTTCTTCTCCTTCACCGAATTTTTCACTCTAGCGATCATCGAATAAGTATTATTTCCCCCAGGAAGTGTTTCAGTGGTAATTTTTAGCGGATAAGTTCTTTTAGTCTTTGTATGGAGAATCCTGTGACCGGTACCAGATTCAATCCTCACTTCAATCTTGTCCTTCACTTTCTGCTTAACCAATTTCCGAGTGCCATTGTTATAAAACTTTATAGAGTTCTTGAACTTCAACTTTTGCGAAACTGAGGTAGTAAAATTGCCAGCAGTTGAGCTCACCCAGCCACAAATCTTAGTCTCCCTCTCTGCCTCGATTTGAAACTTTCCATCAAGCCCAGCAAACTTCAATTCACGCTCTAAAGAAAACTCGGGAGAACTAAAAGCAATTCCAGCCAGAACCTCCTCTGAACCAGCATCCAACCAGAGATGCAAATTTGCATCCACAAGCCAAAATGAAATACCATCGGCCACTCGAAGCGAAAAAGAATGCACCTTCCCGTCGAGAAGCAAGCCTAAATAGGGTGTCAACTCTGCATCATATGAAGGAAGATCAAATGCTCCAATGGAAACCACTGGCTCCCAAAATAAGGGATTAATTCCACCAGTGAATATCACCGGAAAAGGTACCACTGATCCAACAAGATTCCCATCAATCATCACCAAAACTTCACGGTAAGCACCGTGGCCTCGCCCCATAGTCACCTTATTCATGTTTGCATATGAATCAGAAGGATTCACATGCTGAGCCTCATCATCATTTGCCACCTTTAAGTATGAATCAGGAGGGTTAGAGTACCAAAACTCGTCATCCCCATGAAATGACACGTAAATTTCAACCACAGCTCTATATGTATTCTGAGGAATTCGAACTCCTCTGGAATGAATATCTGATTCATTCTGAATCCTAAACCAATACCCTTCATCTCCAACCTCTGAAATAGGAATGATCAAATCCGCTGGTTTCTCATATAGTAAATCAAAGGAACCCTTTTCAGAATCCACCAGTGGTTCTAAAGGGTTGTACACAGATTTCAATTTCCTACTACTAGGCCAGTAATTCTCTGAAGGCAAAGCTAACAAAGGCTTAACATTTTTGGCGTTAGCATCATAGTAAAGGAAGGTAACATTAACTTGGTAAACGCCAGTAAAGACTTCATTAACGATGTTTTCAAGCATGACGGAGAGAGTAAGGTTGTTCTGTGATAAAAGAGAAGAATACCTGGTGACGTCCTTCCTAACCGTCCAGAAAATTCCATCAGCTGTGGGCTCAGCCGTGCTGGTGCGGATCAGCTCGGCTCCACCGAGCCAGAGGGCGGCTATGCGGTCGTATTGCTCCCCTTGACAAGAGGCTTGGATCTCGAGAGTGACGTGAGTCCAGATGCAATTCAGGGGCGGAAAGTAAGGAACGGAGAGGGGGGGAAGGCCGCAAGTGTTGCTGAAATTGTGAGTGAGGATTGGGAGAGTGCATGTTGCGTGGACGCCGTCGAATGGAAGTGGCTTGGTGACTTCAAAATATTCTTGCGGTGGGGAAACGTTGCGATCATTTTGATGGAAAGAGCGTTTTGTAAAGTGAGATTGATGGAAGGGTAGCGTTCTGCACTGAAGTGGAATAGTGAGGCGCAACAGGATCAGTGAGAGGAAAAAAGTTTGCATCTTGGCTTTTTGGATTGTCTGGTTTGGATGGTCAAGGAAGAACCGAATGAGTATAGAGTATAGACAGGGAACTCAAAGAAGAGGAGGTTTTACATGGGTTTCGATTTTCTTGGATCGGGACTTGGTTTAGCCATTGATTCTGAGGAGTTCGATAAGTCAGATGGAGAGTTGAATAGAATGAAAGTCAGTAATGGATGTTTGGTGGCCTTAAACTACATAATGACAAGTTAACTTTCATTTTGATGGAAAGACGAAAGAGCGTTTTGTAAAGTGGGATTGATGGAGGGGGTAGCGTTCTGGACTGAAGTGGAATAGCGAGGCACAAGAGGATCAGTGAGAGGAAAAAAGTTTGCATCTTGGCTTTTTGGATTGTCTGGTTTGGATGGCCAAGGAAGAACCGAATAAGTATAGACAGGGAACTAAAAGAAGAGGAGATTTTAGATGGGTTTCGATTTTCTTGGATCGGGACTTGGTTTAGCTATTGATTCTGAGGAGTTCGATAAGTCAGATGGAGAGTTGAACAGAAGCTTGAGCAATGAAAGTCAGTAATGGATGAATGGTGGCCTTAAACTACATGATGACAAGTTAACTTTGATGAATCGAATAGGCTGTTGAAAACGAGAAGAGCTTCTATACGTGTCCAGCGGATATAGGGCAGATAGGTAGATTTGCTGTTTTTTAATTCCTGCATGGGACCCGTGGATATAGAACAGATAGGTAGATTTGCTGCATTTGATTCTTGTCATGGGACCGTACCCCGTTGAAAATTTCCAATATGAAAATTTTATAGTATTTAATGCAACAATCAGCAACTCTTCCCCCCACTTCCTAAGAATCTTCCTGAATTTTGTCCTACGATGCTTTCACTGGTTGAGCTTTAGTCAACTGTCCGTGCGGGCATTTTTATTAGGCCAGCAACAATGCCAAAGTCCGATTTGCACTATTCGCGTCAGCTTCTCCATCAATCTTGACAATAGGTTTTAAAAGCTTCAAGTCTTCTCTTATTTTCGTTCATTCTGAAGCTCATGAAGCTAAGGCAACTAAAGCTAGGAGTAAATGCTCTACAAGCCAGCTAATCCCTTCCAGGAAACAAAGTAGAGGGCGCCGATCAATTCTGAGTTACCAGTTATGTAGCTATGAGTTATGATGTCCTTGTTTCCCTCCTGATGTTTTGTTTTCTTCCATCTTCCTAAGGAGGAATAAGATTAACCATCACCTGTTTACACCACACAACTTCAGTGACGACCACTGTCGAATCTTTCTGCTGGCTTCCAACAATGTCATCGCATCTGGAAGATGCTTATTCACATACATATGACAATAAACAAGACAATCCCATCTGGATCATGGCCTTCCTGTATATTGTAGAACTATTCACCAATTTGCAAGTGTGAATGCAAACTGAAATCTAAACCATAATCCCTTGCTCTTTCTATTGGACATCTGTTAAATGTATCATGCCCCGTAACTGATGACAGAATACATTGCATCCAAAGCAAAAATCGAAGGCATGCATTACCATGGATTTGGAGAAGATAAAAGAAGAGCAATCTTTACTACAAGCTTGGATCTTTAACTCATAAGGACAATCAACTCATTGTTTAACTCAGTATCATTAAGAAGTGTAGTAAGAAGAAACAAAGGAAGAAAAAGAAAAGTAGAATATCCAAAGTGTTAATCTTCATACAAGGAAACATAACAGGTTTGAATGAGGGGTACATTGTTGTTGAGAAATCAACTCTTAATAGATTTTGATGGTCACAACTAAAAAGAAGTATGCACCTCAATTTTGATTACAGAAAACTCATGAGCTACTGTCGAAATGCTAGCTTCAACAAAGCATGCTTGGTTCGTGAATCAATACAGACTCGTATTCAGAGCTCAAATAACATTAAGAGACCACTCATAGAACTCACTATGATGTCCATACTTACCAAAGCGCAATTCAGGTTACAATATAAGCAGAACGATGCTTGCAGTAATGGCAATCATCCTTGAAGCAACTTTTGAACTATATATTCCATGCATGAACGATAAACTGACCAGAGTGGAGAACCATTATATTAAAAAACTGTCATTCCTTATGGATAACTTTAGCAAAACCAAAAGAAACATCTAATAAATGTCCGATTAAGCAGGTAATGATAAAGCCAACAGATGCAACTTCCATTGACCTAGAGCATCATATAGTTCTCAATTCAAAAAAAGGGGCTCTAAGTGCTCTCATCATAATAAAACCTTCAATGTTGAGATGGACGAGTAACCATGACAAATTATCAAACACAATAAGCAAAGACCAGCATAGGCCCTAGGCACTACCACGACAATAAGCAAGCACTGCAAATAAAGTCTCAATCAAGCACCGAGACAGCAAACTTAAGCAACTTAAATCTTTCTATTTTTCGATAGAAAGGAAAAGATGAGGGGATCTAAAACAGAAGTCATTTGACAATGCTACTCCAAGATATTTGGCAATGCGGTTTCATATATCAAATATTCATCAGCGACAGCTTTTCAGAAACCCAAAAAAGCCCAAAAATACAATGACACCAATTAGAGTCCAGCTAAAAAGGAAAAGAAGAAGAAAAGCTTAAGAACTGCAGGGCTAAGACAACAATCCAAATTGGGAGTAAAAGAAGCATCTTGAATGATCAATATATAAACTGAGAACAAAAACAATCCGAATCAAAGAGTAGCCAGAGTCTAATTATTTCTCATAGCACCTTTTTCACCAAAACCGTCACAAAGTTCCTTCCTTTCCTCAATTATCTCTAGAAAACGTAAAGAAATGCTACAAATTAGCACAAGACAGGGCAAGAACCCTAGAGCAACTTCTTGTACTTGGCTACCTCTCCATCATTAGGGAAAAATCCCATAAGCCTCCCTGCAGAATTCTGGTACGCGTACATGAACCCACCCATCAGTCCAATTAATCCCCCAGTCACCATTGATGGGCCCCTTATCCCAGGCTTTATTCCTAGAAAGCACAGGAAAAAAAAAAAAAGAAAAAAGATCTCACTTTTACGACCAAAAAAGATCAAGTCCACGATACGTATATTGAAGAACAAATTAACCTAAGAAAAGATAAAAGAAGCAATGGGTTATTGAAATATGAGCACAGTAGGACAAAGGGATCTTGCGGATACCGGAGAGGTAGCCGACCGTGACTGAAACGCCGGTGATGGTGGTGAGGCGGAGGTAGTCAAGGGTGCTGAAGTTGCCCACGACCTTGGTGAAGGGTGGGTTGCGATCTATAACTGGATATTCTGGCTTTGCTGATGCTGTGATGTCTGTATTCATTTTTTGTTAGCTCTTGTTTTTTCTTCTAACTTTTCACTTCTTTGCAGCTGCTCTTCCGAGGAAAGACTCCCAGAGGACTGTAAAATCTCTCTGCTTTGCTGCTTACTTCACTGTTTTCTGGAGAATAAAAATGGTCAGGTAAGTTTGGGTTTTAGGTGGGTCCACACGGGCATATCTGAATGTTGGTCTGCGATTAATTGCAGTTGGGCCGCTTGTTCTAGGCCACAGTGATTTTCAACAAGGTAGTAAACTGAAGGCCCATTAGTTCGAGGCATTGGATGAGATCTCGCGTCTAAGATATGTATGTGGTTTGTACAATTACACAATTAGGCCTCCTCCAGACAATTGAGCTTTCAATTTATTGGCGAGTGAGCGTATTTGGACACGGGATTCTCTGAAAAAAAAAATGTAGAATAATAGCGTAGCACATTTTTCGTAACATGTTATACCGTATCTATACATCAAAAAACGTGGTTAAAAAGAGGAAAAGGCGATTCACAAACATGTTCGTTCATGATGTAATTAAATACGAGTCACTATTTTTTTGAATAATGAGTTGAGTAAACAAATTTAATTATTCAGTAATAGGCAACTCGAGAATGATATTTAAGATTGTCACTTCTCAAATTCAAAATTGATGGTAATTTATCCGCACATAATTTTTTTCTTTAACCTCTAAACCCACCTATATTAGGAGATTTTTTTTTTTTTTCCAAAAATAGTTGTCCAAACTTTGGTCTTAAAAAACGTCAAAAGTCTCCATTCCTCCTAGTTCCCCTTCCCAATTGCCATGAAAAAACCTCCTCATTAATGGTAAGATACAACAAAAACTTTTGTGCTAGAGTAGGTAAAAACTTTTGTTTGGATTATTATTTTTATTAAAAAATATATTGTAATAATTTGATACATGTGAAATTAAAAAATAATTTAAAACGCGTTCAAGAGAACGTAAAAATTTTTCTCCAAATACCAAAGCATGTAAAAGAATAAATGTGTTGGCTCTTGGCTCACTACTTCACACTTCATCAAAAAAAAAAATAATAATAATAATAACAAAAATCACCCGCCTCCTGCCTCAGACAAACACTTGTGGGAATAAGTAATGCATAATTTGACTGAACTGATGACGGAGGGCGACCCGGGGAGGAGATGATATGCGAACCAAGAAGATAAGATAGATGTTGTACGGTCCTCTCCCTTTAAAGAAGAACTTGTTTTTGCTGTCAAGGGCTTTAGGGTTTTAGAGTATATTCTTCTTCTTGCTATGTCAGTCTCCTTTCACTCTTCCTACTATGAGTGTGCTATTAGACAGCATATGGCTACGTGCCCAAGCTTCAATTCCGCATTATTTTGTGCATTTCCCTTTCAATCTTCTTCTCCTTCTTTAATCTTCTTAAATTTGTCCCGTGTTTCTTCTGCTGATGGAAGCAGAAACATTAAAAATAGAGTTATATTTAGCAGAATTGGCGTTGCGTCATCTCATTCCAATCCGAATATTCTCAAGTCCAAGCACATGTCTAGGTACGGCCTACCGATTTCACCTTATGACACAGAGGAAGATGATGCTGAAGAAAACGAGGATGATGATTGGTTTTCTGACGTGGGTTTTGTTTCTTTATCTTTAATTGCCTGCTTAGCAAATTAGTTGGGTGTTTTTTTTTTTAATTCCGTTCTTCCCTGAAAGCATACTTTTCTACTGTATTATTATAATTTTTTCGTACTTAAGCAGCTTTGTTTTAAATGTTATTCAAATTAAGCAAGATTAACTTTTAGCAATTGGTTATAGATTTGCTTGAGTTTTCATTTCAAAGGTGCAACCTTTAGATTCTGTAGTCTCAATCGGACTATTCCAACATGGATTCTCTGCTGTAGTTTTCCATTCGATAAATATTACTCGAGGTCTAGTTGCAGAAACGAATTCTTGCTTCAATTTGTTCATTTCACATTAGCTAGTAATTGATTGCAAAATTTACATGTTATATAGAACTATCCTTATCTTTGACTGCATTGCTGCTCGCTTTTAACGATGTGCTATCAAATACTGTAGGATGATTCTCCAGGAGATAAAACAAAATCGTGGAATGCAAGCAAAACAAGGCAAGGTATACTTCAAGTTCTCCACGATAAATTACTTCAATCTTTTGTTTGACTATGACTTTAATAACCTCTTATGCAGTCGAGCACGAAAATTTTGAAAGTCGATGGGGTGTAAGATCATTGAACTCTGGGAAAAGCCTAGAAATGAACAAAGGCAGGTTTGGCAAAAGAAAAGGAAGAAATGCCTTATACATGAGAAACACTGGCAGTTTTCATAATACTTCAAAATTTTTAGCGACTGCTGGCTCATCTGCTGGAGATGCCAAAGAAACGGTACGCACTATAGCAATAAAAGGGAAAAAAAAAACCAACACTCCTAAACTTGACAATTCATAGAAATTTTCCGAAAAAAAAACTCCAAAAATTCTCACTTTCTCATATTTTTGCATACAGATCAGAGTTTCATGGTCAACCCAGAAGTTTTTTCTTTGTTTTTTAAAAAAAAAATTCAAAACTTATGATGCGCAATCCTGACTTCTAAGGCAGTTCAAAGCTTTGTTAACGAGAAAGTAAACATGCCAACAAACCACCGTACGAAAACATGCACGAAATAGACCAAAAGCCCGGGGTGGTTGGGGGAACGACGAAAAAGATGGGATCTTTTACCATGTAGGGAGAAGGCCCAGAAGGGTGGATGAGAAGACTTTTGTCTTCTTCACTAAAGTCTAGACAGAAGCTTAGAGCTTACTGCTGCTTCCGTAAAAAGACGAGACAAAACATGCGACATTGAAAAAGATGATGAAGAGTATTGAGGTGGCGGTTTATATAGTAGTGCTTGGGACTAGGGGGAATTTTCGACTTGGTCGGTTGGGGGCTTGTCAGCCAAAGCCAGCTAGGGCGGCTGACTCTTGACGGCTCTGCATTTACTGGGTCTTAACCCCTGTTCGGTGGGTTTTACTGTGGTTCTAAAACTCGAGGGTTATTACTTACCAGTGACTAATTACTAGCACTAATTTAGCACTACTAATTACTAGCACAAGTAAATTGTTTGCGCGTGGATAAATTTGTAGAGGGATCCAATTCTGATTTACTTCTATTATGGATTCTTCACCCAAAAAAAAATAAAAAATAAAGAAGAATACGCAAGAACGGATTATTATCATTGTAATTTCTATGATCAGAATTACAAAGTATATATATTGAACTGGTGAAGATAAATATTCCATGGGATTTGGCAATTCTTTGATTTGATTGAGTTTACAAATCCCACGTTTTGAGTGTGTATGTGGGAAAATAATTGAACAAGATATGATAATGCATACATATTTATTAAGATTTGTTAGAAGATAAGAAGATCAAGACATATCCTCTAATAAGGAACAAGGTATGAGAGATAAAGGCTCAATATTAGGTGGTGCTTCCCTCTATTTCCTTTTCTTTTTAACCTGACAATTTAAGTTAAGACTGAAAGTTAATGCATCCTTTTTATCCTTTTAGGCTGACTTCATTTGCTAAGGTTTTATTTTTTATTAGCATTTTTATTGGTACATAATTTTATGAACAAAATCAATCCCCCCCCCCTCTCTCTCTCCCGACCGGCTTCCTTTTGTTTTACCGTGCCAAGCAAATATCTGTACATTTATATCAGTTGAATCGAATTTGGTTCGCTATGAACTTCAATGTACCTCGAGTTAGGAAGATCAAGAAAATAAATACAAAGTTTTGATCAATTTCAGTAGCAAAGCTGTGTATTTGAGATCTCTAATACATTGTGTTTGGATTGCATTTTTCGTCATTTTTCATGGAAAAATTACTGTAGCGATTTGATATATGTGAGAGAAAAAGGTGATAGGGAAATGTGATCACGGAAAACGACAATATTTTCCGACGGAAACAAGCAATCCAAACAAGGCTAATTAGATTTTAAATCCAAAGCAAGGGTTTTTAAGGTAAATCTTCTCTATCATTTTGGACAACATAAATTGATGGAAAGAGCACTAAAACATAAAACTACGGATTACTTTTCCTTTTCAAAAGCAAATAGGAATATCAATTATTACCAAAAAAAAAAGGAATATCAATTACTTGATAGGATATAGAGCTAAGCCCTATTTTGAGTTGTAGTGCGTTTGCGAGAAAAAAAAAATGCTTTTAAGTAGTAAAAGTATTTCTACAGCGTTTGACAACTAACATAAGGAGCTCGAGTGTTTGACGCCGTAAAGGCTTAAAAGCATATTTGCTAATAACGCTTGTGTTAAGTGTTTTTTTTTTTTTTTAAATCACTTCAATTCCAAACGGGTACTCTCGAGAACCAACATCAAATTAAGCCCATTTTGGATCCGCTCGGGTTCAATTATCCCCAAATTTGGTTCGGGCGGTATCCTGAATTCAAGTCACCCGACTTGTTTCCTCCATTTGATTGCAATATATTCTTCACCCCTATAAAAATTCACTTTGTGAAAAAAAACAGAAAAGCGGGGGAAAAAATGGCGACGGCGACCACCCAGAAATCAATCTCAAAGGAACTAGAACTGGTCGATGGAAAAAAGGCCAAACTTAAATCAGCATTCGAAGAGCTTCAAGCCCATTATTCTGTCACCAATCTCAAATGGGAAGACTTAGATTCGTACTTCACCTCCCTCCAGTCCCACCTCCTCCACAAGTTCTCCCGCCTCCAATCCCAAAAACCCGACCCGAAACCCCTGTCCCACCCACAGCCCCAGCAGCCCAAACAGAAAGAAACTCCAGCCAAGGATTTGTCGAACCCAGTTCCGGCTCGGGCTGAATTGAAGTCTTTCTGTGAGAATATGGATGGGTTAGGGTTGAGAAATTATATACTCGACCGCCCCAGAGAACGGGCTGCTATTCGGGTCGAATTGGCGGACGCTTGGAAGTACGCGCCGGACCCAGCTAAATTGGTTGTCGATGCCATGCAGGGGTTGGTTGCGGATGATTCGGGTTCGGGTACGAGTGTGGACTTGGGTGGGTTGAGGAGGGTGGGCGTGGTTTTGTTAGAGGAGTTGATGAGGGCTAAAGTGGAGATTAGGGACGGGGTTAAGGAGAAGGCGAAGGCGATAGCGGCTGAGTGGAAGGGGAAATTGGCTGCCGCCAGTAGTGGTAGTGGTAGTGGTGGTGATGGTGGAGGTGAGGAGGATGGATTGGAAAAGTTGTGTTTTTTGCATATGTTGGCTGCATTTGGGTTAGTGGAGAATGATGGTTTTGACTTGAATGAGCTGGTTGAGTATGCTGCTGTAATCGCGAGGTATCGACAGGTTGTGGAGTTGTGTCGTGCCCTTAAGTTTGGCGATAAGATTTCTGGTAATTTTTTATTGTACTAATATGCTCATCATCATTTTTACTCACTTTGTGTAAGTGAATAATTTCTTAGGTTTTTGTACGCTTTTAGTGGTCAGGCAGTGACATGTGATTATTTTCAGGGGATATTTGTTGAATTTATGGATATTTATTGGGGAAAGATTTGAAAAGGCTAGTAGCCATGTGGTTGTGAGCTGAATTTGAGTTAGGTTTTGCACCCTGGTTTATATGTATTGCTTTATTGATTATTTGTTGAATTTGCCTTCCATCACCTAAATTGGGGTGAAAGAAGTGGAATTCTATGTGTAAACTGTCTCTAACTGGGAATTGCATCTGGAATTTGGCTGTGAAATGGTGAATAGAGTTATCTAGAACTTGTAGAAACTTTTGCAATTTTTGTACCCGAACAATGGAAATGGACGAACACCTTAGGTTAACGTAACTATTTTGTGGAGAGAATTCTCGCTCCTTGTACTGACAGGATGCTTGTGCATGAGAAATAGAGCAGAGCCGGACTAAGCTGTGAAGTCCCCTGCAAGTTTTGTCTTAATTATCTTTGCATCAGGCTAAGCCTTAAAGTTTGTTAGTCATTACACAAATGATTGCATACTCTAATAAGAAAAATGTAATGCATTTATGGAATATGCTCTTGGATTACCGCTGAATCTCTTCTGAATTGTCTGATAAATATATTTTTCCTCGCTTGTTTGTGACAGACATAATTCAGAAACTTATTGGCGAGGGCAAACATCTTTTGGCTGTTAAGTTCGTATTCCAATTTGAGATGACGGACAGGTTCCCACCGGTGCCTTTGCTGAAAACCTATGTATTAGATTCAAAGAAACTTGCTCAGAAAGTTCGCAAGGATGGAAAGAGTTCTCGTCAATCTTTAGTAATCTACTATACTTTAACATGTCTTCTGTAGACTTCTTCACCGATTGAAATCTGCCTAAGTTGCTCAAGTAACCCATTCCTTCTTCCTTGTAGAATGAGGCAGCTGCAAAAGAAATTAGCTCGCTCAAATCAGTCATTAGAATTATTGAAGATCACAATTTGGAATCTCAGTATTCAAAGGACATCCTTCTGAAGCGTGTTGAGAAGCTAGAAAAAGAAAGGACAAGTAAGAAGCGACCTGCACCTGTCCCTGCAGTCAAAGCTCAACAACAGAAGCCCAATGTAGGTAAGCAGAGTAGGAAGATTGGAGCTGCTGGCAGGTCTACATTCCAAAAGAATGTTGCTACCTATCCAACTGTTCCAACAGTCCAACAACCTCATATGCAGATGGCAGGTTTATTGGCAGATCCATACCTCAGTACATCTGCAGCAGCCTATGGCTTGGCAGGCTCAACTCCTGCTGTTGCCCCATATGGAGGCACATCTGCTGGCATTTATGGGTTGCCAGGGACCCATATAGACCCTTCTGTAGCCGGTCTATACCCTTCTGAAACCTCCACGCGACCTAGTTACTATGATAGGTCAGTTGTTTATGGTGGATATGGTTTCCCACCTCAGTACCATCAAGCTTACTATCCTCAGTAGTTTGCTTTTATAGATGGTCTCTTAATTTCCCCTGATTTTCTCCTGTGGTTAGCACAAAAGCATACTGCTTTTGGTGACCAGCATTTAGCAGATACTATACTTGGTTCTGGAAAGTTACTGATATGTCAGTGATGGGTGGTACCCCTGAATTAATTTTCAGGTGTACATCCTTTTGGCATTTAAGAGATCACTTACCGATGATCAGTGATGCCTACCATATTCCCAAACTATCTTCCAGTTCCGATCCTTTTAGGCCACAATCATGTAGTTTCATTTGCATCCTGTGTGGCATAAGCACATAGTTCATTCCCATTCTTTTTCCCATAATCATGTGGTTTCACGTTGAAATTTGCTAAAAGAGATTTCTGGGGTTAACCACCATTGGAAACTGTTCCAGTTAAATATGTCCTTGTACCTTAATTACAGTTTTCATTTAGTCAGAATAGGTCAAACCTTTTTTTAATAGTATTTTGTTCCTTTCTCTTATTTCTGTTGAAACGTGCAGCTAATTTGTTTTGTTAATCCTGATTAAGATATCATAATAATCCTGCCTCTCAGAACTTAAGAATATAAGCATGCCAGGAATTCTGTATTTACCACATGGATTGAAGTTGCAAATTTAAGTGGCCCGTTATTTTGTGTTCATGAGTTTATTTTTTACTAGGCTAGTTAAATGGGCTAGTTATTTTTAGTCTGAAGCTTGTAACGCTATGTATTGGTACTGCATCTTATCATTAGAACTGAGTACTCTTTTTAATGCTCAGTGAGTGCAAGGTCAAATTTTTCTTCAATCGATGTTAGATGTATCTGCAAGCGCTGGTGCGGAACATCCATGGTTGATTTTTTTACCATCGACAGGCCTTTGTACATAAGTTTCCTTTTAGTGATGTAGCCTTTCACGTTAGAAATACATTTTCATCCTAGTGACATTAAGCTTTCATCATTGTCTTGTCCTAAATGAGAATCCTAGTGTCCATGACATAATTACTTGTGTAGCAAAACCAATTGTTTTGCTGCCTTATATGCATGGGCAAACTTTTAAGTGGAATGCTTCTCCATGATGGGGAAGCTACTAGGCTGTGGGTCTTGTAGTTGGCTGATATGTTGACATGACTAATTGTTGATTGGGAACTTTTTGTGGAGGATATCATGACCGAAAGTGGACAAATTCTTGATCCTGTTTGTTTTGGATATTGAGAGCACATATTTAGGGTGTGCGTAACGGGTGCCATTTGCAGTGGAGCTAAGGTTGTGATGCTGACTTGCTTCGGGCCTTGAGAGTAGTTATATTTGGCCGCCAACCTCGTTGTGTTGAACATCTCTAATAAAGTCTTGTCCATTCTGACAAACTTTTATCAGGAAATGGTGCAGAAGCCTTCTGCAAATCCAGATTCCACAGACCCTGAGATGGATAGGATCTTCTTCCTGTCCAGTCAAGCCCAAGCCCAAGCCCCCCAACACCCCCCAAAAACACCCTTCCTCTCTCTCTCTCTCTCTCTAACACACACACACACACACACACAGATATGCATGCATTTAAAATTTTATTGACAGAATAGTACTTGCTCTCCTCTGTCTATTTGTAAACTCTAAAGATGTGGATTCAAACTGTGAAGTTTATGAGAGCTGGGGTGTAATTATTTCAACTGTCTGATTTTAAGTCTATTTTATTGGCTGTTCCGGTGTTTTAACAGGTATGAGATGCTTTACTCTCTCTCTCTCTTTCTCTCTTATATTCAACGAAGTATGCTTTCTATTTGATGGAAATAGCACCTTACAGGTGTCTAGTCTCTAGCAGGTATGTGCACATTAGGTCTCGAAATCTTGATGATATTACAACATGAAAATGCAAGATAACAAGGTGAATCGGCTATCATTCATAAGGTTTCTGTGGTTGTATGATATCCGAACACAACAAAACCTCTCAGAAAGTAGTTGGGGAAGTGCCTGGCGGTTGTAGCTGGAAATGGACATCTCAAAACCTTTATTTTTTTTTTTCTCCTTTTTACAGAAACCTTGCGGTGTGGTTTGAGCGTTACCTAAAGGGGCATCTCTTGGCACAATAGCAATTGGAAGTTTCGTTTTTTCCTCATTCGTTACAAGTCAGTCTCTTGACATGTTTTAGAGACCAGTTTAGTTTTGGTGGCATTTAAGGCCCTTAAAAGTTATTATAAAAACGATTTTCTAAGTTTTGTAGTAATTTCTGGAGCCCGAGTGGCGCATATATTCGTGAATTCTTTGAAGAATCACATGACGTTTATAGAACTGGAATAAAATAGTCCACTAAAATCTCTAAGGTTCTAGGAAGACAAATGATTTAGGTGAAATTTTTTTGTGACTAGTAAAAGATAACATAGAATTCAGGGTAAAAAAAAAAAAGAAAAAAGGAAGAAAACAAGGAGAAGATGAGTGATGGGACATGAATAATGAAATCTTGCTTAATCAAGCAGAAGATCTAAAGAAAACGAGGAGGAGGGGGAGGAAATTAAAAGAGAAGTAATGAAAATAAGTACTAGTAACAACAACTGACACACTTGTTCGTCATTTGGAATCCGCTCCATGAAATGGAACCCCACGCTTTCCGTTTGCTTTCCCATGAATAACATATTGTCACCTAAACTCTTTTTTTTTTTTTTTTTTTTCCTAAACCAAAAACAAAGAAAGAAGGAAAGAAAGAAGGTCACCTATGAGCCCTAATTTTTTCAGCATAAAATTCTCCAATTTTGATTTTATGGTAGCTTGTCAATGGGGAACAATATAAAGTGAATGATGATTCTCCACCAATACTCAGGTTCTTTGCATCTAACTATTTGATTAGTCACCTAATAGTGATTTCTTAACCAAAAACGCAATTAGTACTATAGTTATCTTGATACCAAATCCATTAACCTCACACCATATATTTGAATACATTCTTAATCTTAATTAGTCTTTAGCAAACATTTCTATGTAATGTCTTGTTAAGAATACCAAAATTCCGCTTTTCCGTATAAAAGCAATGCAAGGCAGAAGAAAAGCGGATAAAGTGTTGCAAATCATAGTTTTGATGCATAAGTTGGATTAAACGTAGTAATCACTCTTTATCCCATTGGTCGTTGCTAGTGAAATGAATGCTGCTCGCTTCTCTGCTCATAAGTCCGAGCGGAGAGTACAAAAACCACTAAGAACAATTAATATGCTACTGACTTTTTTGAACTAATGGAGAATTCAAATCTTTTGAAAAAGAAAATCAAAGAAAAAAGTTTGAGAGTTGAGGCCTAAGTCGTGAGGACCGAGCAATAATAACAATTTTTGAGTAAGAAGAGGAATCCATCTTGTTTGTTCAATGAGAGGTGTTGTTTGGATTGTGATTTTTTGATACGGAATTTGTACGTTTTTCAAAAATATTTCTTTTACGTATTTTTTAAAATCACAATTTTATTTTACATATATCACATATTAAGAAAGAGTTTCAGTACAATTTTACTTCAACGCACAATTGTGAGTGCAATTTTACTTCAACGCACAATTTTATGGATTAATCTTTTATATATTGATAGTGTATATATTTTCATCATTAAATACGTGACACATAATTTAAATTTAAATTTTATATATATATCGTGTATCTAATCATGATAATATATATATTATCAGTGTATATAAAATTTACTCTAATTCAACGAACTATATAACATGGGAAAAGGTTTTAAGACAAGAAGTTCGAAAACACCGGGAAAGAGACAAGGCAATGAGGTCCAGAATCCACGTATGTTACAACCCCAGTAAAACTGCTAAACTACTGGTCCCTTACTGACAAGTCTACTCGCGCACACAACTCCGTATTTACAATCATACCCCTAATACGGTGCAAAGACAAAAGCTTCTTCCAGGAGTAGTGTATTTCTATCTACTCAATAAATACAAAGACATCGGTCCAATGCTAATCCGCGCACAGGTTTCAGAGGAAAACTCGAATTTACTGAAGCACCCCTGAACGTAAGTTTACCAAAATAGCCCTCCCCCATTAAACAAGAAGCAGCAAAAAGAGGTCCTCCCTCGTCCTCCCACCATCGTTCTCTTCAGCTTTTCCAATGGAAGAAGCCTCCTCACTGCAATCACGCTATCACTCCCCTCACGCCTTCGAACTGCTGCAGCAACAGCAAGTAGAAGAACAGCAAAGTGGTGCTTGTTCGAATGTGGAGATGGACGGCCGGCTGACTTCATCTCTCCGGCGAGTCAGGGATGGAAATGGAAATGGAAATGGAAATTACTCAGAAGCTGCTGCAGCATACCACCACTCCGCCGCCGCCGCCGCCGGTGGTGGCGGTGCTAAGTATAAGCTCATGTCTCCGGCCAAGCTCCCGATCTCTAGGTCACCTTGTACCCTCACAATCCCACCTGGGCTTAGCCCGACGTCGTTTCTTGAATCCCCTGTTCTACTCTCCAACATCAAGGTTAGCTTTTTATTTTAGATTAAATGGGTTATCTTCAGCTTTGATTTTACTTTTCAGTGGAAGAACAAGAGCCTTTTTCTTTTCCCTCTTTACTTCTGGTAGTAAAAATTAAACTAGCCTTAGCTTTAGGTTCAGATTCCGATCCGATACCCATTTTCTGTTTCATTTAGACACCGTACTTCCTAAAATAAAAAAAAATGGCTACAAATATGAAAAAAGAATGGTTCTGAACTTGGACATCTTTTACAGCTCAAATGTTTTTTTTTTTCCTTTTTCTTTTTTGGTTGGGGGAATGGGATGTTGTTGTTGACGTCAAGGGTGTCGCGAAACTGAGTGCCTTGATGATGTTAGATGTCTGTCTTAGTGTCTAGTGGAGAATTTGAGGAATTGGATGATGTGAAGGTCTGCTTTGTAAAATGCTTTGTAGTCTATTTGTGGATAGTACCATTTCAATTAATGATAGGATGTTTGGTTCCTTACATCACGTCGCAATTTGTCCGTTTTAATTCCTTTTTCCATCTTGGGCGCTCAGTAGGCTGAGAATATGAAGTTTTCTAATGGGATGTCTGATTCTTATCATCACATTTCACTTTGTTGGGATCATTTCCTTTTTGTCTACCATCTCAGTGCTATGTGGAGAATATCTAGTTTATTATGTGCGAACTTGTGTTTTAGCGTGGATGTCTCAGGACGTAGATTCTGATGCTCGCACTTGAGGTGTATTGTATTTGTTTCTTGGTGGATTTATGCCTCATGTTCTCTAGAACATTTTGCTTTCTGGGTTTACTTTTTAAGCTTCAGTGTTGTTTTTTCACATAATGAATCTTTGCCTTCTTTTTCTTTTTGGGTGCTTCCTTCTTTTCCGTTGTTGCTCTTATAGGGCAAATGATGTTGCATATGCATAAAATCACGTACTAAGTTGTTCTTGGCATCTAGAGAGGAACACATCTTTTCACTTCTGTTGGTGTGAAACTCATGAAACACATCTGATACGTTGAAGTTTTAGGTCTCATATTTCAAATTAATGAGCACTGTTGTTACTAAGAAGGGACCTACTTTCAATCATTCTTGAAATCACTCCTGGAGTGCCAGGACAATAAACATTTAAAGACTAACAATTTCCCTTCAGTTCCTCCCCCTGAAGATAGAGAGGCAAGAAGTTGGGTGGGAAAACAGAAGAAAAAGATTAACAATTGCTCTTTAATTTCATTCTGCTAATTCCTGTTTGTTGATTTTTTAGTACTTAATTCTGCTAACTTCACCCTTGTAATTTTGCAGGCAGAGCCTTCTCCAACTACAGGCACCTTTTCTATGCCTCAAATGATGCAAGGCTGTAGTGGGACATCCGGATTTTCATATCTCACAAACTGTTCCAGTCTGAATACTGTAAACAAGACGAATTCCTGCAATTTTGAGTTTCAGTTCCATGCTGATTCAGGCGATGCAGCAGGATTGAGACCAATTGGACTTGCGGTAATTTGATCACTTTTAATGTACTTGTGTAGTTGATTTAAACAATTATTCAAATTTCTATGTTGTTGAGAACCTAGGTACTCTTATACAGTCTCTGAGGTCAAAGTTGTTTAAGCATTTCTAATGATAATCTCCTGAAGGATTTTTAGTTTGGTGTGTTTTTGGTGAGTAAAAAAGGGGCTATAAGGCAAGAATGATTTTGAAAGCTGTTGATGTTGATGGTCCGCTTAATATTTCTTTGCTTATTGTGAATAGCCTTTCCCTGTTTAACAAGGTAGAAATGATCTCTTATTTTCTAAAATTTCATGACCCTGAACTTAGGATATTATTATGCTATTAGAAGTTCACTTGCTACCATTTCTTCTTCTGTTGAAGTTCTCATGATGGAAAAAGATCAAAAAAATATTGTTGTTCAAAAATTCTGTGTAAAAAATGAAGTTATATGCTGCACCACTATGTATATGTAATGAGAATGTTTTGAAACCAACCATTGACTGATGAGTTTCTCTTTTGGAAAAATTGTGTAGCTGCCTTTTGTTTACTGGTGCATTATTTCCTTCCTGTGACTAAGTTTATGTTGACATGCCAAAGAGTACATAATCATAAGGATTAGATCTTTGGTTTTTTTTTTCTTGGGTTTAATTTTTTCTCATTATAAGTAATATCATGGAACAAGACTATGGTATTTATACATTTGGAAATATTTTTCGCCTCTTCTGAGGAACTTTTATTAACCAAAAGGAGAAGAGAAGATTTTTCATTTCCT